GTCGTGTGGATAGGCGATTGAGCAAAGATATCTTTCATGGATTTTCCAGGGATCAGTTATTTGATAATTTTCAAATTTTATTTCGAGAGTTTTCTCTCAGTAAAATGTTTTGTACAAATTCGACTATTTCTTGAATTTTGGTTTGATTGCTATCTTGGCTTGATCGATCAATCACTTTTGGTTTGACCATCATCCTAACACGATCAACCAATCACTTTTGGTTCAATCGACATCCTGGCTGGATCGACCATTGATTTTTGGTTGGATTGTCATCCCGGCTCAATCGACCAAACATTTTTTTTTGTTTGATTGTCGTTTTGGCTTGATCAACCAATCACTTTTGCTTTGATCGGTCATTCTGACTCAATCAACCAATCACTTCGATCTAATCAACCGCCAAGCTTGATCGATCGATCACTTTAATTTGATCAACCTACCTAACTCGATTGACTGATCACATAGGTATGATTGGCAACCCTAACTCGATCGACCTATCACATGAGTTCTATTGGTAGCCCTAGTTCAATCTACGAATCCTTAGGTCCGATCAGTTGTCCAGGCCCGATCAATTGTCCCGACCCGATCAACCGATCACTTTGGTCTAGTTGGCCATCATTGGCCAACTTTGCTTGATTGATGCATGCATGTATACATTTGTGCATCTTTGCATAATACTGGTAGTGGTGCTTTCTTATTGCATGTCTCTTCATGTGTGTGAAAATTCTTTTTTTTACATTATGCATATGTTATATTTCATTGCATGTAAAGTTGCTTTTGCCTTGTGTTCTTTGTCACAATTGGCATGTTCAGAAGTCTCCTTAAGCACTCAAGCTTAGGTGTCTCTTCGAACACCCTTACCTATGGTGTCTCTTTAAGCACCTACATCTGCAAGCGCCTTCCCCACATATGTTGTTTTATATACGTGGATAGATGCTTGCCCACTTCACGTGGAGACAGTCCACATATAAGGCCACCTGTTGCATAATTATCTTCTATGGGGTCGTGCTGCCTCACTTTCTACGGCACAATCTAGGAATGTCGTAGATACATCACATTATGCGTAGCATGAGTCCTGCTTTCTAACCGTTGAACTCATGCTAGGCACAATGTTTATCCACCTAAGTATGTGATTCTCACTTGGCATGAATCACACTACCTAGTATGCTTGATGCTTTGCATGTTTTATGGTTCTTCTTTTGCCAATGGTCTTGTTGCACTGATTGCATGTTTGCATGTAACCATTTGGATGCCTCTCAGGTATGAAGTAATTCCCTATATAGGTATCCTATACTCGATGCAAAACCACTTGTAGCTTTTTTTCTCCTCGTTGCATGACATCAATCTTGGGTTCTCAGAGTTGGCATAATTCCTCTTTATGGGTAACATATACTCAGTATACCCGCTTTGTGTGTTTCAGATGTATGTGACATTCTTGCATTCATATTTGCATGATGTGTGACTAGCTTTTTGGCGTTCATTGGATTATTCATGCTTCGATGAAATATTTACAATGTGTTAGGCCATCGTCATATTGTGCGTGCATCACCCGTTGCCTTGACAGCAAATCCTACTCATTAGGACGAGTGACCCATTTTTTGGTTGTAATACTTAAACAAACTTTACTCCCAGGATAGCTGAAGGAGTAATGCAAGTTTTATATTAAAATCAACTCATGTATGACTGTGTTAAGGCTCCGATGACTCTAAAGTATATCACACGCACTTTACAAACCCACTTTTAATGGTCATATTTTAAAGTATAAAAATGGATATATTTTATTATGTATTATTCGATATACTTTAAAACTTATTCAAGTTAGGTCATGTGTGAGTCCTCTTCTTTTAAATGACATCCCTTTAGTGACATACTTTAGATCCCTTAGATCTTTAAGGCAGGGCTGGTATGACAACCTCGCCAAATTTGTACACTTAGTTTTTACCCTGCAATGTGCACAAACTTAGATGCAATGATAGGACACTGCGGTAGATGATGTGTTAAGCTAGCACTAGGGTGCTAGGTAATATTTTTCGTTGCCCTGATTATAATTTTCTACTAGTTTGGTTGCTCTGGCGAGGCATCATTTTATGTGTTTACTGGGTGTGAAGCTTGCACATTAGTATGTTAGGGGCGGTCTTTTTGCAGGGATCCATGCCCAATTGGGATGAGTTGTATTGATTTATTCTGACACATTTTCTGTATGTGATGTTAAGCTTCGGTCTCGCTAAGCATGGTTCACTACATTGCATGTAGATATCTTCTTACACTAACTTAATTTTAATGTAGGTTGATTTTTTTTTAGATTTTGCCATGTACTTTTTAGAGCTATAGGACAGAGTCTGTAGTAAAAAATAAGATACAAACACGGGTTATGAGGCGCCTGAGGCGTGGAACCATGTGGCGGGGACCAGAAGTAGATGTTCGTATCTCATATCTTAATTATGCATTTTCTTTGGTGTATAGCATTAGGACCAGGCTTATATATGCAAAGCCTAACAACCTTATTTGCTTTTTTGGGATAAGTTGTGGACCTAGCATCACCAATTTGTGTTTATTTATTTGTTTGTTTGGCTCGCTTTTTTATATTGCATAGTGTTCCTTGCAAGTTATTGTCATTTTGACTTATGGATTGTATGAGAATCTTGTGTTATAATTTAAGCTCTTTAGGGACCTTAAAAAAATAATATTTTCTATAAAAATATAAATAGAAAATTAACATCAATCAAAATTTAATATTAAAATATTTTAACTATTTAAAACTGACACTTTACTTTTAAACATGACCTTCAGGTTGGTTTTAAAATGGTTTGCAAGACATAAATATTGATACACCTAAAATATATATCATTTATGTACACTAAAATATATATCATTTATGTACCACCTAAAATATATATCATTTATGTACATATTTTATACTTATTTTTGAAGATATTGCACTTTAATGGAAGGTATTTGTGTGTTTTTCTTCCAGGTACAGTTAAATGGATGGAAAATGGTGAGAATAGTGAAAAAGGATCAAATTTCGAGCAAAAATGAAAAAGGTGTGCAAATGAACTGTGGCGCCTAAGCGCCAGGATAACAGAGAAGTTTGTGCCTAAGCGTCAAGGACCTCGCGCTTACACATCAGAGATAGTTATTTGAAAATTCAATGAATTTGGAAGAATTTTTTAAGGGGCGTTTTAAGCAACTCTTGGTGAAAACATGGATTGTGGTTAATTGGGACGAAAATACATTCAAATAACTATTGAAATGAGGCAACCCTAAGAGGATTCATTGAATGCAGACACCTTTTTTAAGAGACACCAAAGTGCCTCTTGAAAATTTATAAAAGAACTTGGACTGAATTGAAGGGGCCACCTCCGCCCCCTCTATTTGAGACGTTTATCTACTGCCTCTATCAAAGATTAATTAGAATAATTTTAGAGAGAACAAAGGGAGTTGTAATTGTGCTAGTAAAGAGTATTGTAAGAGAAATGAAGAGATTCAAAGAAATTTCAATGGTTTGGTGAAAAGGATTTGAGATGAGTTTTCTTTTATCTTTGTGACTACATTTGATTTTAATTTATATTTATTGTATATTTACATCATTTCTACTTTTAAACTTAAGTGTTGTTGTGTTTCTTCATGAATTCTGAGTAGTTTTCTTTACCTTTTTCCTTAAAATGATAAGTAATTAAGTGTTGGATGGAAGTTGTGTGAAGTATTGATTTTTAATGTTGAAATAAGTTATAATGATTTAATCATTGTACCACATTTACTTATTGATTTGACCAATTAAGATGTTAATATTTGTTATGAGAACATTTAAGATCAGATATGATATTGTCTCAGTCAACTAGTGATAAAAATCACATGAGATTGTATGGATGAGAATGTCATTCATGTGGTTGAGTGTAAATAAATAAGAAAATAAACTTTGAAGGGTATAAAGTTAGAAGACTTTAGAGTGACAGACTAAAGCCTCCAATTTGGTTTATTGTTTTAGGTCTTTATACGAGATGTTAGCTCATAGATGGAGAAAGTAGAGGGAGATCCTGCAATTGGAGTACCCGCAATCTAGTTAGATCCTCTCGAGCTTGGGTAACCTTAGACTTTATGCTACCATAGTGTTTGTAATTCAATAACGATCTTCAATTCAGCCTTGAGACGTTTCAGCTTGGTGCACAGCCTGAACATAGGAGTACCCTCCACTCCAAA